GACCAACCATCGTCAAAGGATTTTATAGATATTTTAAAAGAATTAAAAAACTTGAATTTATTTTGTCTTAGTTTTGGATACAACGTCGCAAACATTTCATGCGTCAGTCTATCTCGTAATATTGGGTGCACCCAAAATTCTCTTTGCCTCCGCCGTCGTCTTTTATAGCGACGATAGAGGAGCCACACACAAGCAATCACTTCCACATCCATTTCCAAACCGAGCCAGTGCGCATGCTCCGCTAAACGCTCGTCAAAAAACGCCTAGTGTGTACAGGGCCTCAATGTCTTCAGAACTCCGAAAGGTTTCGAATTGTCACCCGGAGACAATGGAAGCCCAATCGGTATTCACTATTTTATGTCTGTTCTTTTTCTGTTTGTTCTGTGAAGTGTTCGTTATCCGATTTGTTCGTTAAAATATCCCCCACGGTATTTTAAATTAAATAAATTAAACTTATGATTAAAATTTGCAGCCCGGCATTTTGTGACGATGCCACAATAAATGTTTGTTCTTATATCGATTTTTATTAGTCGCTTAAATCATAAAAGATATATAAATGCATGAATATCGAACACATTTCCCACTCCTGAAAATGGCTAACAAATTGCCTTCGAAACTCGACATTCGAACTTTCACCGCTTAAACCATTAAACCGACCTACGTTTACCCTTTCATTAATAACAACCGTTTCACTTTTCTTTTACGTTACTTCTGCCCACGTCGTTGTTGATGAATTAATAGTTAATCAACGTACAAGTTTATACGTTTTGTCGTAATTTTTATGTTCCATTTAAAGTGTACCGTCCAATCTGTTTGCTATTTAGAATTCAATTAAAATGAGATTTTTACAGCCGAAAAGATAAATAATATAATGTATATATACCCCGTATTTTAATTACATACTATCTCCGATAGAATAATATATACCGATATTGGGAACATCACTATTAAAAAACTGTTCTTTCTTGTGATACGTAGGTAAACACAACCTGCCAGTGGCGCACCCAGGGGCCCTGGCACTCCCAAAGTAAAAGGAAAAGAAATACTGTATTAGTAAATTTTCCAAAATATTTTTCTAATTAAAATTCATTTTCTTTTTATTATATTGTCTCGAGTGTTCTATTTTTTATATTATTTATGAATTAGCGTTCACATAAAGCGGAAATTTTATAGAGTTCTCATTAAAAACTTTTTTATTCGTTCAATTCGGCTCTTCAAGATTAAATCATGACTACGGCACTTAAATAATTTAATATTTTTGTCACTGCTGTTGCCCTTTATGTGCTTGCTTGCCTTAATATGCCCGTTTAAATTAAACTTTGACTATATTTTAAACCACACTCTCTACATTCCATTTTATTTAACTTATAATGTTGACATTAGATAAATAATGATGAATGCGCTTGTTTTACTCTTTTTAGGATCGGGCGAAAAGGTTGGCGCTGCATATGCGCCATGGTGCGGAAGAAATTGGCATTAATGCTCGCTCGGAGTCTAGACATTTATCAACTCCTGAATAAAAACTGCATCGTTCCAAAATTTACCACTAGAGGCGCTTTAGTCTGTTTCTTAAAATAAAAAAAAATTATCAACATTATTATCATATTAATTTTATCTCTTAAAAAAAATAAACAAACAATAAGTATTCTTGATAATATTTAATCGCAGTTATAAATATGTTGTACAAAAATTTATATTAAGCGTTTCCCAAATTATTGGAATAAAATTTATTTTTATTACATTAATTTTTATTTACAGATTTTAAAATTTTAATTATGTACTATAAATTTTATTTATATTTAAAATAATAATAAATATATAATTAATTTTTTCGTTTTTATATTTTAAAATAATCTCGCTCATGCGCAATCATAAAATAAAGATCCCATTCTGTTCGAATTGAATTATAAAATAACGAATTTAACTTATTTATTTACAATTAATTTACACATTAGGAAATTTTAAAATATTTATCATTAATTAAACGTCTTTTAATATTATAATATAATTAAGACTTAGACGATTACAATTAGCCATGTTAATGTAAGTATTCAAGATTCTTATTGGTCCATTTGTTAACAGCGTTTGTATCATTGACCAATCGTAAAGGACAAGTGAAGTGGCAATTTCAGTTTTAGTTTCCTACTTTATTTGACGAAACGTCTTGAATTTTTCGTATAATTTAATAAATGAAAAAATTAATTTAAGGTAATTTTTTATGAAAACAAATAATTTTTTTACTTAAAATTAATAAATATAAGCATTATATATTCATTATATGAATACAGATTTAATAATTAATTTTTTGAATAATTTTAGTGAATAAAATATTCATTTGTGGATTTAAATACATTTTTTGTTGTTTATTTTCAAGGAAAATTATTATTAATCAATGATCGAATGGAAAAATCTTTTAATTCAATAAATTCTGTGTGTAAAATATATTTAAAAGGTCATCCTGTTGAGATGCTCTATCATCATTACAAGTATGAATGAAGCAACTGCTCAATGCCAAATCCTTATTCATGCTACTTAGAATTTATCTGCTTACTTCTCTCCCATTCACTGCACAAATTCTTATTATTTTCCTTTGTTCTACTGGTTATATCTTCCATGTTGATGGTTAAAAACATTAATGCAGTTTTTAGATCTTTGAATGTTGTAGAGTTGAGGAATTATCTCTTCCACAGTGTCTTAAAACAAATTGTCACATCTTCCTGATGTAGTCCAAATTTGGCTGATTTGCACAGACTTATTACACATTGTAGGTTAAGTGGCGAAACGGAGTTGGATTGGAGTTCGAAAATATGTGCTTTATTAGTATTGGAAATGCATTTCAGACTTATAGTCCATTGTTGGTTCAAACAGCAAGTATAAGCAGAATTTCTGGTGTGTATGTATATACATAACATGATGATCTTGCTCTTGACAAAATCATTAACTAAAGACTACATTTACCTTCTGAATAACAATTTTAATTCAGTAATAACACAAGTAAAAAATTAATTGTACACAGTAGTAGTTAAAACACAGTTGATTTAAAAAGTTGAGTAAAATATTTCTTCTTGCATGTTTTTAATTCTAAAAATATCACATTATTAAATTTGGACTTCAAATACTAAGCTATATCACATGGATCCACATCTAATCTATTGCCCACTAAATTTTCTAGATGTATTCTAATATGTATGACATTGTAACATATCTGTGAGCCTGTATTCGTGTCATTTAAAAATAGCAATATTTTTGTTTTTAAATATTGAAAAATAATTTTTATTGTGATAACATTTATCACAATAAAAATNTGGTGTTGTGTTATATATATTTTTTAAAAATTTTTATTCACTGCTTTTTGCTTTCTTTCCTTCACTTCCACCAGCACTTTCACTGGATAGACGTCGCTTGGTAAAATATCTATCCAAAGAGGTTTGGCCTTGTCTACTTTTAAAATGTTTCTAAAATGACTTAGGCAAATGTCGTTACTCTGAGCAGCAATACGGCCAGTGTGAACCTTTTCGGGATGTTTCTTTTCAATAAAATCAGTACTTTCTGATACCTCAAGATTTCCTTTATCGAGTGAGATCCTTCCACGATGAAGCAAACATGCGGACTGAGACCAATGAACAGAAGTGAATAAAAAATGGTGCTGCGAACTAATGTAATGTTGTATGGTGAGTTATTGTTCCTATTGTGGAGCAAAAAATATGTTCGAATTTCATGTCATATCCTGAAAATTTCATATGCTGGGGCGTTCGTATCCTGAGGTACCACTGTAATAATAATAATAAACTGCAGGTAAACAGCATGAATCCAGTGAAAACCTCACAAGTTGTCGGATAGATTTGATAAAAAGTAAAGCAGAATTCCTTGAAATTTAGGTCAAATTTTCTTTAAAGTGGCCCAAAAAGTAATAAGTTGACCGAATGTAGGAACCTAGTCCTACAAATAACTCAATATTCTACTTGTAGCCCAATCTTGCAATTCCAATAAACCAGCTGTATTTTATGAGATAAGAGGGAAAAAAATGTAATCTATGGGTTAGATGACACCCAAAAATATATTACTGTAAAAGCAAAGCTATATTAGAGTTGTTCTTGGTCTATTGTTTTCTTATAGCATAGGAAGAACTTCAATCTAAATGAATGAGTTAACATATGTATATCACAGTACAGACAGAATTTTCACTTCAATTTTCAAAGTGACTGTATTTCAAACTAAGTAAATTTCTTAACATGTAAATCTCTGTATCTTGGCCAGGACAAAAGATAATGATAATGTTACAAGATAATGGAATTTCAAACTATCCAAGTTCGAATTAACAAGGATTTTCTGTACCTGTTTCTAACAATAAAAAAAAAAAAAAATTATGGTTTTCATTTGATTCTGCTTTGTAAATGCAAGACCCAAAAATAAAGTACTTGTTTCATTAAATAAAATTAACCTTTATTGTTTGAACTTGCATAAGAAATTATTTACTATACTCATAATTTTGACTAATATAACATTTCACAAACAAACCTTTTCTTTCAAGATCCTTCATCTCCAAAATATCACTTTTCAATTTCAGTTTAAGAATTTCACGACATAATTCCTCTCTGGAAAATAATAATAATAATAAACAATTAAACAGTTAAACAACAAAGTAAATAATATTTTAAAAGATTCATATTATTAATTAGAAACACAAATTAACCATTATAAACTGCTGTCAAAAATTAAAGTCCAAACTATACATCTGGCTATTTTATCAAAACAACTGAATAAAATATAAAAATATTTGTATTGTGTATCCAAATTTACTTAAGAAATACTAATATAAAGTAAAATTTGCCTATCGGAAAGCTATAAAATAAGTTGCTTACATAAGCCTGACAGACAGCACAATGAAATTTCTTTGAATGACTGAAAAAACTTTCTGTTGCTTGCAAATGCCTTCCATATGCCTCATGTGTACTTGACTCACTGCAATAGACAATCACAAGTCCAGTTGCAAGGATATTGAATATCCTTGCAACCTGGACTTGTGATTGTCTATTGCAGTGAGTCAAGTACACATTGTGATTGTCTATTGCAGTGAGGTTGCAAGGATATTCAATATCCTTGCAGGTTGCAAGGATATTGAATATCCTTGCAACCTGCATCCTACAATGGTTTCACAACTATGGTAACAATCAATGAGATTAATGAAGTATCAAGACCTTGCCAAGGTCACCAAAGGAGTACAATGCTAAGAGAAGCCTTATTTAGCTTTAATCACAAGGTATTAAATAGATTAAATGTTGCAGGCAACTGTCTCCAGAGCTTTCTGCGGCAACTGGATTAAACATATCAAGGCAAACCATATCACAGGTTTTGTGAAGTTGACCTTTATTCCAAGAGACCTGTAGTTTGTATACTTCTTACTTTCCACTCACAGAAACAGAACAACTCTTTTGGAAGCAATACTTTATTGATTTGAGGTGGCATTTTAGTAGTCACATAACCCTCTATATGTTCAAGAAAGACAATTGAACACTGTATGTTACAGTGATGCAATCCTACTGCCCTGTCAAGCTTTTATGGAAAGCTGTTGGTTCTCACCTTTCTTTTAATAGACAATAGTACATAATCTCACATGGCAGATATTTTCCACAAGTTCTTAGGAAGTAAAGACATTCATAGCAGAGACTGGTCAGCCAAGTCTCCAGGTTTGATTGAACCTAATAATGCTTGAAACTACCTGGAGAGGCAAGTTGGAAAACCTTAGATTTCCAAACAAGTACTGTACCTGAATGTTAATAAAACTAAACTTCTGTTATAGAATCATCTGAATACATTTATTTACACTGGAGTAACCTTAAGAACTTTGCAGACAAGACTTTAAAATACAAAGTGATATAAGAAAAAAATAACTACAACAAAACTCTCAGAATCTGTTCTATCTCAAAGTTATAAAGTAGACGATAAAAGACAAAATTACTCAGAAAAATGGAAAAATTCATCTGTTATTTTTATGAAAAATCATCATTAAGTCATAACTAATTTTTATTCCAACTTATAACTTTTTCCCTACATTGCAAGAATTGCTAAATATAAAGCTGTCTGATACTTTAATTGATTTACATTAAATTGTTAAAATTCAATTGAAAGAAAATAAAATTTATTGTAAATATAAAACTATTTTGCTAAATAGACATATCTAACAATTAATATTCATTTTAGTAATACTTAAAATGTGAAAAAAAAAGACAATTGTGTTTGAAAACATTTGAAAAAATATCTTCATATGCATATACAGTACATTACTGTAGTACCAATAATTTGTATCTATTAAAATCTATAGTTTTAAAATTTGTAAACTTAAAAAGTTGTTAAAGACCAAAATATTTGTCTTTAACATCTATTTTAGTATATTTTATTTATTTTAATATTGTTTATATGTAAGTTTTAAGCTTAATTTAATCAATTACATTTATTATTATTCTTTAAAAATAAATATGCCAAAATTTCTCAGAAATTAAACTGTTAATTGTTGACTGGCAACTGATTTATCATCATAAAATTTAAATTTTTGTCTTGAAAAAACAGAAGAATATTGTTTAGGATTGACATCATATTTTGGTCATAGTCATGATATCACATTTGGTATCATATTACTAATAACTAATTCAATTAGTTTGCTATTATATAATAAACAATTAACCCAATAGTTATTACAAATACCAAAGGAACAGATGGATTCTTTATCAAACTATAAGGCTAAATAATTACTAAGCAATTTTGCAGGAAACAAGCTACCAAGCCATCATCTCCTGTTAAATATAATAACAAATTAATTAATTAAAATTTAAAATATTCTAGAAGAAATGATTGGCCCAGAGTGGAACTTGAACTCACAACTCCTGCTTACCATGCAGAACTGATAAAATTGGTAACAAATCTGCACGGTAAAGGGAGTTGTGGGTTCAAGTTCAGCTCTGGGCTGATCATTTCTATTTTAAAATTTAAACTTAATTACTTAGTTTATTATTATATTTAATAGGAGATGATGGCTTGGTAGCCTGCCTCCTGCATAACTGCTTAGTAATTATTTAGCCTTATAACTCCACAAAGAATCCAACTGTTCTTTTGATAGTTTGTCATTATTTTTAGAAATTAAAAAAGAATTGTATTTAAAGTAAAAATTTAAAACTTTGCTGACAGTATTTAATGTTTTAAAACATATCACAAATATACACACAAAAAATATTTTTAAAAAATTCTTGACACAGAAATTTTTGAAAAATAATAGTATTACCTATGGAGTTTGTCAACAATCCCCATCTTTTCCAAAGTAGAATCATTCATTCGAACTAATGAACGTCCTGAAATAAATTGAGATATTATTGTTTAATCATTAATTTCTGCTAATAATAATAATAATAAATTACATATTTTAACTAACAAAATTATATAAACTATAATAACAATTCAAGTGAAAATATTTTAACAAAGTTTCCAAAATTATAACAAAAGTAATTTTAAATATCAGTTAAAATTAATCAGGATTAGTTAAGAAAAAGTTTAGTTGTTTTATTCATATTTTTGCCATCATATTCAATTATGAAATAAATACATTACCAGTAATATCATGCTCAAGAAATAAGCCAGCATATTGATTGTGATAATCTTGACAGTGACGTCTTAACCATTTTAAAACATCGGCATTGCTCCAAAAGAAAACTGGTTTAGGACGAGTGTGAGCTTTTTTCTGTCCATCTTTCTCTTTGCCTGGATTTGATACTGGCTGAAAAATTTTAAATATTAAATATTAAATATTTTCATCTCTAAATTATTTCCAAATTTACAACCACCATCTTTCCACCTTACATTTTTCACAAAAATTTGAACAATTATTCCTTGAATGTTACTAGAACTAGATAAAATTTGTTTTGTTTGAACATGAACTAAGAATTGAATCAAAGCACTAGTATGTCAATAATATTGTTTTGGGGACAATCTATGACAACCACTTGCCACTACTTTGGCAATGATGTCACCACTGGCATAAAAGAATAAAAAAATTGTGCACACTCATGCTAGTGAGCTTGGACATTGTCATTTTGACCCCACTGTAACCCAAACACAAAGCCATGACCCCTGTGTTTTATTACATTTTTGGATTCTTCACCACAATTAATTTAAAATGGGAAAGTTTTTATCAAAATTAACCCCGAAGTTTGAGAATGAACTCAATGCTGTAACCTACATAAAAATGGTTTCACTAATGCACCACCTTAATTAAATGTGTACACTATTCTCTTCTACTTGTAATAGAATGTAATGAAAATGTAGAACAGAAATTAGTAGTAGTGTATATATTTAATTACATCTAATGCCATTAAAAGAAATAATTATTTGTTTCAAATTTATTGATAAATTATTAAAAACCTGCTTAATTAAATGTATATCCTTTATTAATCTTAATGTATTAGTTTTAATATCAATGTCTACAATTAACTAAAATTGTACATAGTGCTATCTGTTATGAGATTTTATCATAAAAACTTCATATATTTTTAATTATTATAAAATAGCAGAAGACTTAATTTTGAGGGTAGAGATGAGTTTTATAAAACACTGTAAATGCTTACAAGTAAGATCTTCATTAAGTCTGACCCCTTGTGCGATATGTCACATGACCACCTTCTATCTATCTCTCCATACCCTTGACCTTTCACAACCAAAATTTAATAGCATCAATGCCCCTTATATACAAGCTACTGTGCCAAACTTTGTTTCTTTATCTTCACCCCATCATGAGATATTAAGCAAAATAGATACCAACACACACATATCCACAGAATTTTTTGCTGTTTTTTTTTTTTTTACTTTTTTGGGTTCAGGAGGTCTCAAAACAGAGATTTGCAAAAAACTTTGAGGGTCAAATTTGACACAATTACCATACTTTCCCTTGTTATGTATACATAACAGCCAAGAAAGTAAAAATGGAAATCCTCAACAGTCTTTCAGAAAATAATTTACAGAAAGGCTATGTATGTTGGCAGCATAGTATACAACTGTTTATCAACACAAAAGGGAACTATTTTGAAGAAAATTATAGTTGATTTTCTCAACTTCTTAAATAAAAAGAGATGTAGACACAGTCACGTTTTTTTGTGTTGGACATCATAATTCAATTCTTCATTATTACAAAATTTACCATTTCATAAACATTTTAAACTGAAGTTATAATAGGAAAAACTGTTCAATGCTTTTGGCTATCATAATATCTCTAGTTTGAAGAAGTCAAATGATTGCTGTATTGAATCAGTCTACTTTACTGCTACTATTAATAATTAATTTCTAAGCACTTTGGTATTAGAGGGAGGCACTTAACACCTACCTCTAGTACCAAATCGATACAGCAATCATTTGACTTCTTATTAATAAACATCAGGCTTTGGGATGTTCATAGTTGTTTATATACACCATGCTGGGGTAAAGTGATAGCCAGTTGAGTGCCATAGGGTACGATTATAGACCAAAAACATAGAAGTTGTCTCCAGTTGGTGCCATAAGTAACTGTGAATTGTTGTATCTGTAATTAAATTTGTCTAAAAGCAAAGAGTCAGACAGAGGTCCTGGTACCATAATTGGCAATGCATCCACAACGTAAGTGGAAGCTTGGATTTGAGTCTTGCTCTGACCAATTCTTATCTTCCAGAATATTCTAAATTATTTAATAAAATATTAATTTAAATATAATTATTAAATTTAGTAAGAAATGGAGCCTAATGCCTTGTAATGCTTTTTAAATAAGCCTAAAGATGGCAATAGCTAGGAATGTTTGCATAATTTCTTCTATCAGTTCCAATTAAAGTGTTATTTGTATAACTTTCCTTCCTGATGGAGAATTCTTTCCTGTCTCAATTAAAATATTTAAAATATACACACCTTATTTTTATTTGTCATGTTGTCATCAGTTTTATTGTTTGCTGAAGACTCTTTCTGTCCTCTTTGAGAGCTATCTGCCATTATCCATTTTCATTTATTTTTATCTATATTATACAAATAAAGTCAATAATTATCATTCAATATTGATTAAAGAATGCTTATTCAATTAAATTGATGTGATTAAATAAATAAAATATGACTAAAATAAAATATTATTTATTTATTTTCCCCATCATTAGTTTCATGTGAATTTGTAATATTTATTTATTGTATATAATTTAGATTCTAACAAAAGCATAAATTTGCAAATAGTTCTTAAATTTAATTTAAAGTCTTTTTGATAAGATCAGTGGTTCCCAGTTTCTCCTGCAGCAAATGCTAGAAACGTCCTCCAGAGGCCCCAAAATCTGGGGAGTTAAGTCTGGAGACGTAAAGGACCAGATTCAATGGAACATTATATGATTGGCAAAGAAATCTTCCAAAAACTGTAGTCCAAAATCAAAATGCCCATGAGCAAGCAGTAATACCATCTATACAAAATGAAAATGTAGAACAAATTTACTGGTCTTGTATGCAATGCTGCATGTATAATGTATAATGTGATTACAAATTTCTCACTGTATAGTAATTTTATGAACATCCTGTATTATATGAAATAATTTTACTTCTCAATATAAATTTGATATGCTTTTATAATACAGTACTTTTTCTTTTTTCTTCATTAGTCTCATCTCCTACATTATGAAACACAGGATAAAAATAATTATTGTCTTTTCTCATTTAATCCTACTATTTTATCATCATCATTTATTGTAAGTTTAATTAAATATTAAGAATTTACTTTTTAAATATTTTATAATATACTTAAACATGCTTCATTTAACAAGTGTATAATATTTATTAAAATATCTAAGTTATTTCAATAAATATTGAAAAATATATTGTAATATATATTCAAATTGCTCATAGAGTTTGAAATAAGTAATCTGAAAAAATTTCCTAGAACAAAACTAAAATATTTGCTCTGTCATTAAACTTGACAGAAAGCTAGCAGAGTAAATGGATCAATTCTAGAATAGAATATTCTAGAATTGATCCATTTTCTGTCAAGTTCTGCTAGCTAGCTCTGAAGGTCAGAGAGCAAACTGAAAGCAAAAAAAAAATTTTCCTATCCTGACCCAACATATACCACATACCTACAAAAATAGCCATTCTCATAGAACCCAAGATTGTGATCGCACTTTAAAATCGGTATATAACCCACTCCATCACTCAGGGTATGTTCGTAAAGTCGAATGAGTTAAACGAGAATGATGTCATAGTTATTCTTATTTTGTTAGACTTTTTGACCGATTCCATTATAACTAAATGGCTGTTTCTAAAATCAAAGACATGAGCATGAATGTTGCTAGTGCAGCCTTATCCAAAACATTTTTCTTAGATTCGGGTGGACAGTTATTTCTATCATTTCATCTTCTAATTCAGTTTAAACACTTGAGTAGATTTAGAAACATTGATATCATTGGGCCCATTTTCTTAACAAAGTGAACTTTTTCCTTGTGAACTTCATTAGAGTTTCGTTCGAAACATCATCACCGCAGAGCATGTGCAGTGAACGAGACTATTGCTCTAAGAATGATTCATTACTAACACGTTTAACTCATTCAACTTTATGAACATACCCATAACCTGCACCTCCTTTCAAACTGTCTTTTAATACAGATAACCTGCAAGTTATATGCACAAAAATATAGTATATGGTTTTATTATTAAAACTACATTAACAAACAAGTTAATTAAAACTGATTCACTGTAGTAAGAAACCAAATTGAACAAATAAAGTCAGTAAGAGCTTACAAGATTATGGCTCATTATCAGGTTAAACAACATTTTTAAAATTTTGCTTTTATAGATTTGGTAAAATCAGCACTATATTCTTTAAAGTATCTAAAAAAAATTCACTGTTTATAAAAGATTTTTATAGCATTGCAAAGCTATAAGTCTTTTAAAAGCATTGGAAGAATTCATTTTGACTTTTTATTTTTAATAATGATTTCTATAGTTACTGTATCATTACATTTACATCAACACAACAGTTTATAGTATGTATACTATATTTCAGTGCAAATAACAGCATGTTCTTATGTGTGCCAACCTTGTTTTTGCTTATAAGACAATTCAGCCAGTATTGTTTGCATGCTATGATATATTTGAAATAAGCTATAATAACAGCAATTTAAACTATTGTGTACAGAGTAAGTAACAGATTAAAACAATCAATGTTTAAAGCATTGATTACGACCCGATAACGAGTACATATTATTAGTTTACGGCGAGAGCGATGACATGAAAATACAGTTTAAAAATCTTACTTATCCAAAGATGAAAACAACAAGTGATCTGATTATAAGCAAAGTTTCATAAGTATATTTTAACTGTTATGTATTAGAACCTGCTAATTGTGATAACAATACCTGTGATTAAATGGAGCAAACAAACTAAGTGCAGACATATTCCTTTGAAAGATATAGCATTGTTTTCTTTGTGTCTAGCCATATAGTGTTACAATTGCTTGAAAGGCATCATACATATACCCCATATATAACATCACACCAATTACTGTTACATAGTTGTACTTACATCTTTAATCAGGTTACAATCTTAATTTTCATTCTCTGAATCATTCATAAGTGAGTGTAATTAAGGAAAGTAAATAAATAACATCTATAATAATAATTTCTTAGTTATTATTAGTTTATATAAAATTGTTCTGTTAGTTTAAATCACATACTGAGATTAGAAGTAAATAGAATTCATTAATTAAAAATAATCAAATATTTTTACTTATTAATTTTCTAATTAACACTAAATACCTATGAATTTCTCTCTGTACTTAACATTCCCACACGAACAGCAACAACTAAACAAACACCTACGCCCTGAGTGAGCATTAGTTCTAAATTATGCCGCTGCGGGAAACAGCGCCAATAGCTCTACTCTCGATTTGTGGAAATTTTATAGTCATAATTACAAATTACGAATGCTTTATTCGTAATTGCTATTAGTTAAATTTTTAGATAAACAATTTACTTATAAATTAATAATTTTTACATTACAAAAAAAAAATAATACGGTAATGTTTAGAACGGAATGCTCTTAATTTAAGATTATAAGGTGGAATTATCAATAAAGTAAAATATAAGGTGACTTAAAAGTTGATATTTTCTCACTCTGAGAAATACTTCTGGAAATCTTTTTTTGGCTACGAACTTCTACAGTTTCAAAGTTATGTCAGATCTGTAAACAAGAAATCGTAATACAGTGAAACTTCCATTAATTAACGGGCACTCTCAAATAGCGTACACCTGTACTTAGTGGGCATTTTTACAATTTCAGACCTTTTAAATAAGACATTTAGGCTATATTTATCTTTAAATAGCGGACGCTATTGTCCTTAGCCAACCTTACGAAAACGTAAAGTCCCACCTTCAATATTCTGAAAGAATTAATTACGTATGAAACATTTTAAAACTAAAACAAAGAATCGGTTCAAACATCCTACTCTTTCAGAGGACGAATTTTGATCGTAGGAGTCGAATAAAGACGCTGAAAATAAGAGTGAGGAGGAGGACAGGTTGAGAAAAGCCAAACAATACTATTTATCTGTTATAGAACACTAAACTGGTTAATCTCGAGAACGGATTTATATGAAATGTAATCCGAGACCAGACATGGAAGCCTTATGGGCAGGAGGCCCCGATTAACTATATAAGATCTTCCGATGCAAACCGAAAGTTACGTTATCTCAATTCAAAACTTTTCCCCTGAAAGCAGTTAATGAATGACTGGCACGCCTCTATTGTTAAAGGAAAAGTATAATATACAGGGGCAAGACACTACAATAGTAATTTGAGGTGGAGAGTATATACAGTGGGTGATCGGTTAACGAACATAATCCGTTCCAAGACTTTGTTCGCTATCCGAATTATTCGTTAACCGATTATTGATTTACCATAGGTTTTTATGGGAATTTGATTAATTCTTTTTGGAGACTCCAGAAAATAAAAAGTATGTACTTTCTTACTACATTTATATGTAATAGTAAAACTACTGTACATATGTACACAGTCTTGCATTTTTATTAATCATGTTTTTCCGTTTGTGGGGGTTAAAGAATCTGTCCAATGTCGATTGCTTTTTTCTCTTCTTCAGGATTTTTCAGAAGTAATCAACAGCATTGTAATTGTAGAGATCCTCAAGCCTATTAACCTCATTCTGGTTTGGATGTCATTTGGATGACCGTTGTTCTGACATCCTCCCACTTCTTCAAAAGATCTTTAATAGCAGATTTCGACATTGGTCCTCTTTTTTCTTTCTCTTTTTCAAAAGAATACACATCTCGCTGAGTTTCTTGGTGTTCTTCGTTCAAGAGTTCTTAAAGTTCTGCCGTCACATCAGTTTCCGGTTCCATTTTGAGCTCTTCAATGCTCTTTGTTTCTCAGATCATCAGATGTGATTTTTATTGCTCCTTTAACTGCTTGAGACTTCTTGATATATTTTTCATAGCTAAGATTGTATCTACTGTAGACCTGTTCAAGACACTGCCCAGTAACATCAGATATTTTCTGCCCACTCTCTACCTTGACTATTATCTCTTGCTTGGTTTCTACGGAGAGCACAGTTCTTGACGCTCCACTCTTTTTAGGCTCCATAATATTATCAGTTTGTTTTTTAAATAAAAAGTTCAGAAAAGCACTTAAATTCAGAGAACAGAAATCAACTAGCCCAAAAAATTATTTTAATGCAAGGCCCGAATGAAATTCGAAATTTGGTATTAAAACGTTAACGAATATCCGATTGGACAGTTGAACTCTCAACTTTCGTAAATAAAAACCGACGCAAAACAAGTGCCCTTCCGATAGTCTAGCGAAGACTATAAAAAATTATTTGTCAGAAAGGTAAACAAAAAGCTGGAATTACAAGGGAGAGTTTCAAAATTTGGAGGAATACTATCCGATCGGTATCGGGTTGAGCGTCAATGTCTTCAGAACTCCGAAAGGTTTCGAATTGTCACCCGGAGACAATGGAAGCCCAATCGGTATTCACTATTTTATGTCTGTTCTTTTTCTGTTTGTTCTGTGAAGTGTTCGTTATCCGATTTGTTCGTTAAAATATCCCCCACGGTATTTTAAATTAAATAAATTAAACTTATGATTAAAATTTGCAGCCCGGCATTTTGTGACGATGCCACAATAAATGTTTGTTCTTATATCGATTTTTATTAGTCGCTTAAATCATAAAAGATATATAAATGCATGAATATCGAACACATTTCCCACTCCTGAAAATGGCTAACAAATTGCCGTCGAAACTCGACATTCGAACTTTCACCGCTTAAACCATTAAACCGACCTACGTTTACCCTTTCATTAATAACAACCGTTTCACTTTTCTTTTACGTTACTTCTGCCCACGTCGTTGTTGATGAATTAATAGTTAATCAACGTACAAGTTTATACGTTTTGTCGTAATTTTTATGTTCCATTTAAAGTGTACCGTCCAATCTGTTTGCTATTTAGAATTCAATTAAAATGAGATTTTTACAGCCGAAAAGATAAATAATATAATGTATATATACCCCGTATTTTAATTACATACTATCTCCGATAGAATAATATATACCGATATTGGGAACATCACTATTAAAAAACTGTTCTTTCTTGTGATACGTAGGTAAACACAACCTGCCAGTGGCGCACCCAGGGGCCCTGGCACTCCCAAAGTAAAAGGAAAAGAAATACTGTATTAGTAAATTTTCCAAAATATTTTTCTAATTAAAATTCATTTTCTTTTTATTATATTGTCTCGAGTGTTCTATTTTTTATATTATTTATGAATTAGCGTTCACATAAAGCGGAAATTTTATAGAGTTCTCATTAAAAACTTTTTTATTCGTTCAATTCGGCTCTTCAAGATTAAATCATGACTACGGCACTTAAATAATTTAATATTTTTGTCACTGCTGTTGCCCTTTATGTGCTTGCTTGCCTTAATATGCCCGTTTAAATTAAACTTTGACTATATTTTAAACCACACTCTCTACATTCCATTTTATTTAACTTATAATGTTGACATTAGATAAATAATGATGAATGCGCTTGTTTTACTCTTTTTAGGATCGGGCGAAAAGGTTGGCGCTGCATATGCGCCATGGTGCGGAAGAAATTGGCATTAATGCTCGCTCGGAGTCTAGACATTTATCAACTCCTGAATAAAAACTGCATCGTTCCAAAATTTACCACTAGAGGCGCTTTAGTCTGTTTCTTAAAATAAAAAAAAATTATCAACATTATTATCATATTAATTTTATCTCTTAAAAAAAATAAACAAACAATAAGTATTCTTGATAATATTTAATCGCAGTTATAAATATGTTGTACAAAAATTTATATTAAGCGTTTCCCAAATTATTGGAATAAAATTTATTTTTATTACATTAATTTTTATTTACAGATTTTAAAATTTTAATTATGTACTATAAATTTTATTTATATTTAAAATAATAATAAATATATAATTAATTTTTTCGTTTTTATATTTTAAAATAATCTCGCTCATGCGCAATCATAAAATAAAGATCCCATTCTGTTCGAATTGAATTATAAAATAACGAATTTAACTTATTTATTTACAATTAATTTACACATTAGGAAATTTTAAAATATTTATCATTAATTAAACGTCTTTTAATATTATAATATAATTAAGACTTAGACGATTACAATTAGCCATGTTAATGTAAGTATTCAAGATTCTTATTGGTCCATTTGTTAACAGCGTTTGTATCATTGACCAATCGTAAAGGACAAGTGAAGTGGCAATTTCAGTTTTAGTTTCCTACTTTATTTGACGAAACGTCTTGAATTTTTCGTATAATTTAATAAATGAAAAAATTAATTTAAGGTAATTTTTTATGAAAACAAATAATTTTTTTACTTAAAATTAATAAATATAAGCATTATATATTCATTATATGAATACAGATTTAATAATTAATTTTTTGAATAATTTTAGTGAATAAAATATTCATTTGTGGATTTAAATACATTTTTTGTTGTTTATTTTCAAGGAAAATTATTATTAATCAATGATCGAATGGAAAAATCTTTTAATTCAATAAATTCTGTGTGTAAAATATATTTAAAAGGTCATCCTGTTGAGATGCTCTATCATCATTACAAGTATGAATGAAGCAACTGCTCAATGCCAAATCCTTATTCATGCTACTTAGAATTTATCTGCTTACTTCTCTCCCATTCACTGCACAAATTCTTATTATTTTCCTTTGTTCTACTGGTTATATCTTCCATGTTGATGGTTAAAAACATTAATGCAGTTTTTAGATCTTTGAATGTTGTAGAGTTGAGGAATTATCTCTTCCACAGTGTCTTAAAACAAATTGTCACATCTTCCTGATGTAGTCCAAATTTGGCTGATTTGCACAGACTTATTACACATTGTAGGTTAAGTGGCGAAACGGAGTTGGATTGGAGTTCGAAAATATGTGCTTTATTAGTATTGGAAATGCATTTCAGACTTATAGTCCATTGTTGGTTCAAACAGCAATTATAAGCAGAATTTCTGGTGTGTATGTATATACATAACATGATGATCTTGCTCTTGACAAAATCATTAACTAAAGACTACATTTACCTTCTGAATAACAATTTTAATTCAGTAATAACACAAGTAAAAAATTAATTGTACACAGTAGTAGTTAAAACACAGTTGATTTAAAAAGTTGAGTAAAATATTTCTTCTTGCATGTTTTTAATTCTAAAAATATCACATTATTAAATTTGGACTTCAAATACTAAGCTATATCACATGGATCCACATCTAATCTATTGCCCACTAAATTTTCTAGATGTATTCTAATATGTATGACATTGTAACATATCTGTGAGCCTGTATTCG